GCAGATTCTATATAAAATTAAGAGCACCAACTTTGGACAAGTCTAGAGCAGAATCTGAGCCTAGCAGTCACAGTGAGTGTGCTGGGAAGTTACTTAAGCTTTCTGAGGCTCATTTTCCTCATTTGTCAGTCATATCTTTCAAAAAGCCCCTTCATGGAGAAATGTGTGGTTACTAAGAATGCTAACTACATCCAGGATAGTGAGGTGGTGGCTCAGAGGGTCAATGTGTTTACAGTTAGAAACCTGATGACCTGAGTTAGGTCCCTGGAGACCATGTAAAGTGGAAGGAGAGAACCAACTCCACAAAGCAGTTTTCTGACCTCCACATTTTCACCTTACCAGATGTGCGCGCACACACACACACACACACACACACACACACACACACAGATCCCTGGAGACCATGTAAAGTGGAAGGAGAGAACCAACTCCACAAAGCTGGTTTCTGACCTCCACATTTTCACCTTACCAGATGTGCGTGCGCACACACACACACACACACACACATACCCATACACACACCATGCACACATACATCATCATCAAGGTTTTAAAAGAATATTGTACCATAGAGCTGCTTCAATGATTAAGACAGAGTGCACACAGGCCGTGGCACATAGTGAACAGTACCTAAGCCTAGCTTTGCCTACATTTTAGGACCATAATCCTCTGCATCTCAGTAGGAGAACATCAGCCCCAGGGCTCTGCCACATCACATTTCTTGAAGTCCCATTGGCCAAATTGGTCACCTGCGAGATTCAGATTTGAGAAGATAAGTAATGAGTCCACCTCTTAATAGGAGGCATTCAAGTGTCAAAGCCATTTTTTTCCAGTCTACCATAATTACTAAACAATACATAGAGTCCCAGAATCCTGAGGGGCAAAATGATCTTTAGGCTGATGCTAAGGCTGTGTTCAAGTAAGCTCTTCATCATTACTAAGCCCTCTGAAGTGGCTTAAATAGATTTCCTATTCCCATTTATAGCTGAAAATAACTGATGTTAGGAAAGTTTAAATGCCATGCCTGAAGTTAACACAATGAATCAGATGAGATTTCAGTCTTCGGATTGAGGCAATAGATCTTCCTAAAGTACTGGGCTTGGCTTATTAAATTACTCTTTTCTTAAAGTTGAGACAATTTGGTACCATTATTCTATTTTCAGTGTGATCTGGCTGTCATCAGTTTCTTCGTGAGCCTCGGTCCCTATGCCTATTGCTTAAAATGTAAGAACAGTTCATTTACAAAATAAAGGATGTTCTTTCTTTTAAAACTATTGAGTCTAAGGCTAAGGAGATGGCTCATCCTGTAAAGCACTTGCCTTGCAAGTAGGAGGACCTCAGTTCAATCTTCAGAGCCCATGCAAAAAAAAAGCCAAGTGTGGTGACATGTGCTTGTAACCCCAGTGCTCCAGTGCTGGGAAGCAGAGACAGGTGAATTCTGGGGGTTCACTGGTAAGCTCCAGGTCAATGGAAGCCATGTCTCAAAAAAATGTGGATGGCAGCTAAGGAATGACACTCTAGGTTTTCCTCTGAGAGTAGTAATACACACACACACACACACACACACACACACACACACACAATGTTGTGTTTGTTTCTAGCCTCAGTTTCTCTCTTTTTGGAAGCATTGTAACTGTCCTCCCCCACTGGGCTGTATTATGAGGCTGGACTGCCTTTGGCACAGTTAAATGTTCCTGCCTTCAATCAGACCTCCCTCTCTCTTTCATTCAATCACTTACAGCTTCAGTGCCCTAGACTAGGGCTCTGGGCAATTAGTAGCCTTGAAACTGTTAAATTGTATGCTCACTTACAATGTCATAGGAAGTCAACATTAAGGTTATATGTTGGAACTATGTAACTATGACCCAGAGTTCCATCATTGTGTTTGGAAGCAATACAATTTAAACTTAAAATTCAAGTGACTTGCATTCCTGCCCACCTAGCCTTGTTACTTG